GTGCGCTGAGCAGCAGATGGAGCCTGGGGCCGGGAAGCCTCCCCTGCTGGCTGGGGCCTCTGCTGTCCTGGGCTTCAGCACCACCAGCAGGAATGCAGCCCTGGCCTGGCCTCCCCCGACACCGTGTGAGCAGCAGGAAGCGGCCGTGCACATGCCAGACCCTCTGTAAAACGCGGCGCACGCTGCAGAGGGCCCGGTTCTGATTTTGGCCTCCAGCTTTTGAAGGACAGGGCAGCCTGTGTCCCAGGCCCTGCAGGCAGGCTGCCCTTCCAACGGGGTGGCTTGGCCTCGGTGGGACACGGGAAACTCGGCCCCTAGCGATGGCCTCTTCCATGAATGACTCCAGTAAAGGTGTGTGTTTTATTGACGTCGTCCCTGATACCTTTATTGGTACTATTAGAGTCACTGGCATACTGACGAGGAAATTATTTAAATGCTCATTAAAACACACACCTTAACAGCCCTAGCCGGTTTGGCTCAGCGGATAGAACGTTGGCCTGTGGACTGAAGGGTCCCCGGTTTGATTCTGGTCAAGGGCACATACCTGGGTTGCAGGCTCGATCCCAGTGTGGGTATGCAGGAGGCAGCCAATCAGTGATTCTCTCTCATCATTGATGTTTCTATATTCCCTCTCCCTTCCTCTCTTGAAATCAATATAGAGAAAACTTTAATAGCAGAGGGAGAGTAGCATTTCTCTGCAGGAGTCCAGTTGGATGTCTGTTCCCAAGCATCACAATAAAAAATGATGTTTCCTCAACATTTGCAAGTTTCGGCTTCCCTGGAGCCTCCCGTGCGTTAGGTGGGCTGCATTAGAATCCCTCCAGCGTTTTATCACTGCCAGAGCTACACTGACAGGCATCCCAGAAACACCCAGTGCTGGGTCCGAGATGGATAATAACCAACGAGCCCTGGCCATGTGTCCAGTGGTTAGAGCACTGGCCCGCACACCGAAGGGAGGCAGCCAGTTGATGTGTGTCTCTCAAGTCTTTCTTTCTTTTTCTTTCTTTCTCTTTCTCTCTCTTCTCCTTCTCCTTCTCCTTCTCCTTCTCCTTCTCCTTCTCCTTCTTCTTCTCTCTCTTCCTTCCCCTTCTTCCCACCCTTACATTCTCCCTGAAAAGCAATGGAAAAAGATATCCTCAGGTGAGGATCAACAAAACAAAAATAAAACACACACGAATCATGCACAGCCCCAAACCCGAACATCCGCATGGCAGCGGGGACTTCTGTAGGGTGTGCCCACGTACTGGGCCCTGCTTGGTCCCCCCAGTGTGTTGTTCCCATTCTACTGATGAGGAAATCGAGGCTCGAGCGCTTAAGGACCTGGTTGACTTCACTGTGCTGGGAAGGTCGAGGCAGAGGTGTGAACCCACACTGCGAGCTCGTTGCCGAGAGATTGCAGAGGGTTTTGAACTTGAGAAAAACACAGGGGGCTCCCTTTAGAGCCCGTGGAGCGAAGAAGACCCAGCGTGGACCTTAACAACGTGTGAGGAAAGAGGCGGGAGGGAAGCAAGGAAAGAGGCGGCCCCGGGCTCCGGCCGCCAAGCCTGAGTTAGGGCTCCCGGTGCAGCTGAGAGTTCCAGGGCTGGAGGCCAAGCTCCACGCTGCTGCGGAAGTCACTTCAGAATAACCCAGGCATCGGCCCGGCAGCTTGGAACCTCCGCAGCCCAGTGGGAAGTGGGTCCTGTCTGGGCCACCGGGGGGAGGGGGTCCTCACCCGTGGAGGCTCCAGTTCACCTCCGGGCAGGCGGCCCTGAGCTCCAGGACGGGGTGCCGGCGAGGAAACCTCTGGTCCCCGAAGGGGAAGGGGCGGCCCTCTCCCCGAGGGCCTGCTGCTGCGTTTGCCAAGGAGCCGTCCGGGACTGTGTGCGCCGCCAGGTTTCGGACAGAAAAATGCTCCGCGTGGCTCTCAAAGACTTTGACGTCCTTCAGTTCTTAAGTGTGAGGCCCCCAGTGCTCAGGGCGATTCTGGGCGGGAGGGTCTCCATGAGGTGGGAATGGAAATGAACATTTTATTTAAAAAAGAAGCGGGGAGAGGTGTCAGGGAGGGCCTGTGAGGGCCCGAGGGTTTTAAAGTCGGAAGCTGCCCGGTCCCGGGAAGGCTGGCGCCGGGTGAGTGTTGCCAGGTGAGGGGGGGAGTCCAGGAAGCTCAGCCGTTTCTGGGTGCAGGAAAAGAAAGGGCTCACCCCAGCGTGACGAGGGGCCCAGCAACCCGACTTGAGGGATGCGTCCGATGGTGAATTCCAGGCAGGTGACTTCCTCCCCAGGCCGCGCCCGGTTAGAGATTGACAGGTGCCTGCCCCTCTTTTTTTTAAACGAGAAGTGGAAACGTCTGAGCTGTTTGGGACCTGTGGCTACACGTTTCCCAGCAGCTGCCATCTTGAGTTGATTTTTAAAAAACATTTTAATCGGCCATTTCGCCTGCAGAGCCTGCCTCGGAGTTCTGACTGGTCTTTGGCTAGCTATAGAATTTTCTAGAAAATGCGTGGCTGTCAGTGCAAGAAACAGGAGTGCTCTGGAGATACCCAAGGAAATGCCGATGGTGGAAAGGGAGAGTGGGGGAAGGGAGGGGCCGCTGGTGCTGGGGCTCCATGAATGGCCGAAGCCCAGGTGAAGGCACGGAGGCGCCCTTTAATTTGAAGCCTTACGACCTTGGGGGGTGTGGCCCTTCATCTGTGCTATTAGCTGCTGTGTCAGAAAGAACTTTTATCGATCTGCTTCTTATTTCTTACTTATTTATCCTGCTCCAGGAGAGGGTTTGAGGAAGACTCTATAAATATGGCCTCTGGCCCGCTCTCCCGTGAGTCTGCACGAGGTAGCCAGTTCCGTCTCCCACGGAGAGTAACTAATAAGCCAGGATGGGAGATGGTGCCTCCGAGGAAGCGGCACTTCCTGTCTAGCTGAGTGGCATGCAGAAAGGGGGGCTGGGGTGCTGTGAGGCCCTGCACCCCCACGTGCTGCCCGGGGCCTTGGGAAGGTCCCCCACCACAGATTCTCCTGGGGCCCAGCGTGAGGAACTGAAGTCCCCAGACGCCCTGGAGAAAGGAAAGCGTCTCGCTCAGAGGTTCTCCTTGAGCTGTTTAGAAGCGAGGTGAAGCGGAACGTCAGTTTCCCTTTTCTTTCCGGCCTCCCTCCCCAGTGGTCTCCTCGCCACCACACGCGCAGACACAACAGAGGAGACGAGAGTGAAATGATCCCGCAGCACAGCAAACCCGCAAAGCTGGCCTCGCTTGCCGGCGGTGGGGCTCTGGCCCCGTCAGCTCTGTGGCCTGGCAGAGTCGACCCCCTGCGCCCTGGTCGGGGGGGGTCGACTTTTCTGTGACACCGTGCACCCTGCGTGGCTCGGGAGGCCCTGCCCCCTCGGGAGTCGTCAAGACTAACCTACCAGCGTGGAATTCATGGCATTGGGCCCGAGTCCCTTGGTTTTTCCTGCTGAGGGTGCAGCCCCCCAGAAATATAATTCATGGGTGGAAAACAAAAACAGAATCTCTGTACAGGATTTCAGAAGTCCTTCAATGGACCAGGGCAAGGGGGGGACTAGCTTCTTCCCTCTGCACCCCGCTGTACCTCCCATCACCGTACTAACGTTGGTTATGGTCCCCAGCATGGTTCCTGGGTTTTCTCAGCGTGAGGATCTCCCAGGTACAGGGGAGATGGAGAAAACAGAGGGGTTCTTCCAGATCGTGGCTGTGATGTCCTGTTCCCCGTTCCTTCCGGCCAGCGAGCAGATCTGGTGGTGGAAGGCAGGGCCTGTCCGCGCCGACCTGTGTGTGAGGAGCGGTAGGACAGGCGGCAGCCTCACTTGCAGGTTGAGGGGGGCAGCCACAGGACGGGCTCTGGACGGAACGTTCAGCTCCATGACTGCCCCAGTGACGGACAAGACTCCACCCTGGCTCAGTGCCATCAGGTCTGTGACAGTTTGTACCCAGTGCTCCCCCTCTCCCCCCCAGAGCCAGTTTGGAGCAAACCCATGCGTGCCGCCATTGATCCCTACTGCTGTGGTGGGCCTGACAGTCTTCCATTCGGTTAACATTCTGGCAAAGGACTTCATGTAGGCCAATGGCCCCTCCCGCTCTGGGGGGTCTGTGGAGGCCGACCCCACACAGTGGTTATGGTTAGAGTGTGTGGGAGGCCACGGAGGGGCAGCTGTCACACAGTAGTAATCTTTATCGCATGCTAATGCCTTCTGCGCCTGCACGTCCACGTTAAAGTTTGATAGCCCTTTCTGTGCGGATGCTGATATATGAAACCCTAGAATTTCCTGGAGTTAAAAATCCCAAACGAGGCAGCCATTTCTTTTAAAAAAGCCTTTGCAAGGTGATTCCGTCTGACTTGTGTTCTTAGAACTTCCTTGGAGCAAATATTGCCTCATCAGTGGTTCTCAAAGGGGTTGGGGGTTCAGTTTTGGCCCCCAGGGGACAGTTGGTAATGCCTGGAGAAATGTTTTATCTTAGTGACTGGGGGTGGGGGTGGGCAGGGGGGTGCAGAGGCCAGGGATGCTGCTGAACATCCTATAGTGCATAGGGCAGCCCCCACGACAAAGAATTATCGGGTCTCAATGTCAGTCATGCCTTGGTTGACAACCACCCCCCCCCACCCCCCCAGAGAGTTGCCAGTGTGGGCAGGGCACCCTTTATGCAGTCCAACTTTGATATCATCCCCATTGTTGGAGTCAGGCATTCTCACAGACATCTCATCTGGCTTCTGAGCAGACACCAACAAGGATACCTTTTCTTTAGGGGCGCAAACTGAGGCCAATGGAATTGGATTAGCTGAGGTCCGGTGGCCGGTTGGGCTTTGCCAGGCCGCCTGCCCACACACACAACGGGCTTCTTCAGCCCCCAGCCAGCTGGGGACGGACACCTAGGGCCTGGCCCAAGGGTCGCCCCACTGCGGGCCTGGGCCTTGCAGAATGCGCCTCCAGGTCCGTGGCCACCGGCAGGCACGCCCCGCGCCGCTTCTCACGCTCTATTCTCTGCCTTTCTGTCCGTGTGTCTCCCCAGGTAAAGATGAGCCTTCCAGCTACATTTGCACAACATGCAAGCAGCCCTTCACCAGCGCGTGGTTCCTGCTGCAGCACGCGCAGAACACGCACGGCTTCCGCATCTACCTGGAGCCCGGGCCCGCCAGCAGCTCCCTCACGCCGCGGCTCACCATCCCGCCGCCGCTGGGGCCCGAGGCCGTGGCCCAGTCGCCGCTCATGAATTTCCTGGGCGACAGCAACCCCTTCAACCTGCTGCGCATGACGGGCCCCATCCTGCGGGACCACCCGGGCTTCGGCGAGGGCCGCCTGCCCGGCACGCCGCCGCTCTTCAGTCCGCCGCCGCGCCACCACCTGGACCCGCACCGCCTCAGTGCCGAGGAGATGGGGCTCGTCGCCCAGCACCCCAGTGCCTTTGACCGAGTCATGCGCCTGAACCCCATGGCCATCGACTCGCCCGCCATGGACTTCTCGCGGCGGCTCCGCGAGCTGGCGGGCAACAGCTCCACGCCGCCGCCCGTGTCGCCGGGCCGCGGCAACCCTATGCACCGGCTCCTGAACCCCTTCCAGCCCAGCCCCAAGTCCCCGTTCCTGAGCACGCCGCCGCTGCCGCCCATGCCCCCCGGCGGCACGCCGCCGCCGCAGCCGCCCGCCAAGAGCAAGTCGTGCGAGTTCTGCGGCAAGACCTTCAAGTTCCAGAGCAATCTGATCGTGCACCGGCGCAGCCACACGGGCGAGAAGCCCTACAAGTGCCAGCTGTGCGACCACGCGTGCTCGCAGGCGAGCAAGCTCAAGCGCCACATGAAGACGCACATGCACAAGGCCGGCTCGCTGACCGGCCGCTCCGACGACGGCCTCTCGGCCGCCAGCTCCCCGGAGCCCGGCACCAGCGAGCTGGCCGGCGAGGGCCTCAAGGCCGGGGGCGACTTCCGCCACCACGAGAGCGACCCGTCGCTGGGCCACGAGCCCGAGGAGGAGGAAGAGGAGGAGGAGGAAGAGGAGGAGGAGCTGCTGCTGGAGAACGAGAGCCGGCCCGAGTCGAGCTTCAGCATGGACTCGGAGCTGAGCCGCAACCGGGAGAACGGCGGCGGCGTGGCCGGGGTGCCGGGCGCGGGCGGCCTGGGCGGCGCGGCCAAGGCGCTGGCCGACGAGAAGGCGCTGGTGCTGGGCAAGGTCATGGAGAACGTGGGCCTGGGCGCGCTGCCGCAGTACAGCGACCTGCTGGCCGACAAGCAGAAGCGCGGCGCCTTCCTGAAGCGCGCGGCGGGCGACGCGGGGGACGACGACGACGCGGGCGGCTGCGGGGACGCGGGCCCGGGGGGCGCCGTCAACGGGCGCGGCGGGGGCTTCGTGCCGGGCGCTGAGCCCTTCCCCGGCCTCTTCCCGCGCAAGCCGGCGCCGCTGCCCAGCCCGGGGCTCAACAGCGCGGCCAAGCGCATCAAGGTGGAGAAGGACCTGGAGCTGCCGCCCGCCGCGCTCATCCCGTCGGAGAACGTGTACTCGCAGTGGCTGGTGGGCTACGCGGCGTCGCGGCACTTCATGAAGGACCCCTTCCTGGGGTTCACGGACGCGCGCCAGTCGCCCTTCGCCACGTCCTCCGAGCACTCGTCCGAGAACGGCAGCCTGCGCTTCTCCACGCCGCCGGGGGACCTGCTGGACGGCGGGCTGTCGGGGCGCAGCGGCACGGCCAGCGGCGGCAGCACGCCGCACCTGGGCGGCCCCGGGCCCGGGCGGCCGAGCTCCAAGGAGGGCCGGCGCAGCGACACGTGCGAGTACTGCGGCAAGGTGTTCAAGAACTGCAGCAACCTGACGGTGCACCGGCGGAGCCACACCGGCGAGCGGCCTTACAAGTGCGAGCTGTGCAACTACGCGTGCGCGCAGAGCAGCAAGCTCACGCGCCACATGAAGACGCACGGGCAGATCGGCAAGGAGGTGTACCGCTGCGACATCTGCCAGATGCCCTTCAGCGTCTACAGCACCCTGGAGAAACACATGAAAAAGTGGCACGGCGAGCACTTGCTGACTAACGACGTCAAAATCGAGCAGGCCGAGAGGAGCTAAGCGCGCGTGCGCGGGCCGGGCCCCCCGCCCCTGTACAGTGGAACCGTTGCCAAGCGACAGAATGCTGACCTGACACTTGCCTCCGTGTCACCGCCACCGAGCACCCCCGCGTGTCCCTGGGGCCGAAGGGGGAGGCGGCTCTCCAACCTAACCTGTGTCTGCGAAGTCCTATGGAAACCCGAGTCAAAATTGTGGAGCCTTTTAACTGTGCAATAATTTCTGTATTTATTGGGTTTTGTAATTTTTTTTTTTTTGGCATGTGCAGGTACTTTTTATTATTATTCTTTCTGTTTAAATTCCTTTGAAAGAGTTTGTTGGGTATCCATCCCTTCTTCATTTTTTTTTTTTAAACCCAGTAGAAGCCTGAGCAACGACTTACAAGCAATGTAGAGGGGAAGCATAGCTTTTAAATTATAATTTGGGAGGGAGGGCGCTGCTTTTTTGAAATTTAAGCTAAGCATGTGTAATTTCTTGTGAAGAAGCCAACACTTAAATGACTTTTAAAGTTGTTTACTTTTTTTACTCCTTTTTTTTTTGGTCCTGAAATAAAAAGTGGCATGCATTTTTTTTGGGGGGGGGGATGGGGTGGGGTGGGAGTGGATGTACAGCGGATAACAATCTTAAAGTTGTAGCACTTTGTTTCAGAGTTGGAGTGGAGCTGTAGCACTGATGATGTCCTGAGAAAACGGGCCTTTTCTGCGTTGATTTCAGCCTTTCCATGAATAACAGGGGTGAACTTGGAGTGGTGGGGGAGAGGCCCCCAAAACTCTGCACACTGCCAGAGACACAGGAGTTTTTGCGGGCTACCCGGGGAATGGCCCCAGAGGATTCTGAAATTGTGCATTACCAGCAGACACTACCCCCTCCTAGAAATGGAGGCGTACCCTGGGATGCCGTCTTAGCCATTTGCCATAGAACAGGCTAACGTCGGCTGAGGGTACCTTTTTTGGGGTCGATGGTGGTGGCCTGCAGTGACACAGAAAGGAAGAAACCAGCCAGGTTCTTCTGGGCTTCTTCTGGCTTGCCAGCTTCTCTCTCTCTCTCTCTCTCTCTCTCTCTCTCTCTCTCTCTCTCTCTCTCTCTCTTGTTATCACCCTCACCACGAAAATCCCAAGTCCTACGTGGACGTTGCTGCCCATGATAGTGATGATCGGTCATTTCTCAAGCAGACAAGTGCCCTGATGGTGACTGGAAGGAAGTTAGCGTTCTCATTTCATGCACACGTGACATTCTAAGGCCCGGGGTGGGGGAGGGTGGGACCGTGCGAATTTCTGTTCCCTTTCCTGGGGAAGCAGGGGAAGGCCCATCCCAAGGTGCCCGGCGCTGCTTCCCCTTTTATCATTCCCGTTTGGTTGGAAGGTACTAAACCCACGAGGTTAGATGTTTGAGTTCTGTTGACCCGCACTTTAAAGCTTTTGTTTGCATTTAAATGAAATGGCTTCTAAACAAGAAATTGCAGCATATTCTTCTCTTTGGCCCAGAGGTGGGTTAAATAAGGGACGACTGAGATTGAGTGTCAGTGTTGCTAAGCATGGCATTCACAATACTGGCACTATAAAGAATGACATAAAATAATAACTTATTGGACAGTCTCTCTACTGCCATTCGATTTGATGTGAGTGCCTTGAAAACTGATCTTCCTATTTCAGTCTCTTGAGACAAATGCAAAACTTTTTTTTTTTTTTGAAACGAAAAGACTTTTTAAAAAAAAAAGTAAAACGAGAAAAGTACGTTCTTTAGACACAAACAAAGCCACATTTACTTTCAATACAATTTTTAAAAAAATCCCGGTTGAAGATAGAGGACATGAAAAATGCCATCAGACCCAATCGAGTGAAGAAATAAACCCAGCACAACCTTGGACATACAATTGCTAGCTGAAGGTCCTCAGCCCCCTTTTGTTTGTGGGACAACGCTGCTTAGATGTGGAGTGGAAGTGATTTACTGCTGAATTAAAACTCAAGTGACAAGTTGATATCGTTGAATGAAAAACAAAACAAAACAAAAAAACAATTCAGGAACAATGGCTAATTTTTTTTCTAAAGGTAAATTTAGTGCACTCTGTCTTAAAAATACGTTTACAGTATTGGATACATACAAGGGTAACAAAAATTGTGTGTATGTGTGTTGGAGAGATCATTTTTTCCCCCCCACAAAGTTTTGCTTAATAGGTTATAAAAGATGCCACAGTGGCTGTGTGTATATTGTTTCTTTTGGTGATGGGGTTTTAGTATATATTATATATATTAAAATTTCTTGATTACTGTAAAAGTGGACCAGTATTTGTAATAATCGAGAATGCCTGGGCATTTTACAAAACGAGAAAAAAAAACACCTTTTTTCTTTTCCTTGAAAATGTTGCAGTAAAATTTAAATGGTGGGTCTATAAATTTGTTCTTGTCACAGTAACTGTAAAGTTGGAGTTTTAGTAAATTTTTTTCTGCCTTGGGTGTTGAATTTTTATTTCAAAAAAATGTATAGAAACTTGTATTTGGGGATTAAAAGGGGATTGCTACACCATGTAGAAAAAGTATGTAGAAAAAAAGTGCTTAATATTGTTATTGCTTTGCAGAAAAAAAAATCATTCCTGACCTGTACTTATTTTTCTCTTCCCACCTCCCTCTGGAATGGATATATTGGTCGGTTCATATGATGTAGGCACTTGCTGTATTTTTACTGGAGCTTGTAATTTTTTAACTGTAAGCTTGTCCTTTTAAAGGGATTTAATGTACCTTTTTGTTAGTGAATTTGGAAATAAAAAGAAAAAAAACAAAAACAGGCTGCCATAATATATTTTTTTAATTTGGCAGGATAAAATATTGCAAAAAAAAAATTTGTATGTTCAGTCCTATTGTACAGGAGAAAAAGGGTTGTCTGACAACCTTGGAGGGAAAGAAGCAAAAGGAAGTCGTGAAATGCTTTGGTTCACAATCATTTGAGCTGTGTGTGTTTTTGACGGAATCGGAAGTGTTGGAGCCAGGCGTCCCTTGCACCCAGGCCCCGGCGCGGCCCCAGCAGACCCGATGGGAATCCATTATTCCTGCGGAGGGGAGAAGTCAGCTTCTGTAAACATTTCCCAGCGCCCCCCCTTTCTCTAAGAGGCCATCTGTAAGGGGTCAGTGTAGAGAGAGCAGAGAGCGAGTGAGCATCTTCCGTCTCCCCGGACCCCGCCATGGGAGTCACCACCACCACTTCTCCTGCCCGGCAGAGCAGAAGGAAATGCAAACTGACCTTTCCTTAGCCCTTGACCAAACCTCAAACAGGAAGCGTCTGCAAAGGGGCTGGCCCAGCAGCGGCGCGCAGGTGACCGACCTGCTGTTGAATCCAGCGCGTGAGCGGGCTTTCAGGAGCGCCTTTCCCTCCACGGAGAGGCTTGGCCTGTCACCCTTTCCTGCTCTGCTGCTTTTCTGTCCGAAAGCTGCATCCCGTCCGTGTCCGAATGCCTAGGGCCTGGGATGGGCTCGGTGCCTTTCCATCTCTCCCTCCCCATGTGTCTTCTCCATCCTCCACTGTTGGTCCTTTATTTGTTTGCATTTCCATTTAATTTATTTTCTTTCTCCCTCTCTGTCCCTTCCCTTCCCTTCCCTTCCCTTCCCTTCCCTTCCCTTCCCTTCCCTTCCCTTCCCTTCCCTTCCCTTCCCTTCCCTTCCCTTCCCTTCCCTTCCCTTCCCTTCCCTTCTTCTCCCCCCCCCCCCTCTCTCTCTCTCAAGCCAAGTAGCTTTAAGATGATAAAGTGGTAGTTTTTTGGATAAGGGAATAATTCATTAAAAAATACCTATATCAGGAAGCCATTTTTTATTTCAGGAACTGTAAGAAACCATTATTTCAGGTTATGAAAGCATAACCAAGCATCCTTTGGGGCAACTCTTTACCAAATGCAGAGATGGGAGCTTCTCTGCTGAAATTCTCTCTCCTCCTTGCTACTTTCCTTTGCAACGGGGAGGAGAGGGCGGTAAAGCTGAGGTGTCAGTTTCCTACCTGCTTGACCCTGAGCCCCTTGGGCTGCCCTGGGAGCCTCCCAGGCGACCCTCCTGTAGTGAGAAACGTAGCCAGCTCTTCCCAGCTCACACCCAGTCACCAGAAGCCAGGACTAAGCCATCCTAAAGCACAAAGATTGTGTCTCCGTCCACCGACGGCAGAAAAAAAGAGCATTTTGCTTCTTTCACGTTTCGAAAGCCAACGCTGCAGCAGATGACCGGGTGGGGGAGGCCCGGCCTGGGCGACACACTGCCAGGACTTGGTTCCAAGTTGCCCCAAATAGGAACCCGCCACTTGCCATTAGAGGGTCTGTCGTGGGAGAGGGGGAGGCTGAACCGGGAGCAGAGTGCGAGGGGGAAAGGAAGTCGGCCTTTCTTCCCGGCTCAGGGCGGCCAGGCGACGTTGTGTGGGGCCCAGGCGACCTCGTGATTTTGGTGCTCTTTGTACCCCCTTCCCCCTCCCCTGCAAAGCCAAGTTCCATCGATTTCAGTTTGCATTTGTATTGGCGAGGCGAACTATACTATTTTTATTACCTTTTCTATCACTTGTTGTATGAGCTTTTGTTGTTTACTTGGAGGTTCTGTCTTTTGCTACAAGTTTGAACTATTTATTGCTTGGTATTGGTGCCCTGTTTAAGAAACGGGCACTTTTTTTTTTTTTTTTAATTATGGAGAAAATGTTGAGATGACAGGAGGTCATTTCAATATGGCTTAGTAAACTATTTATTGTTCCTTTTATTCTCTGTACAAGATTTTGGGCCTCTTTTCCCCCCCTCAGTGTCACGATGTTGAGTTCAGCATGTGTCTGCCATTTCATTTGTACGCTTGTTCAAAAACCAAGTTTGTTCTGGTTTCAAGTTATAAAAATAAATTGGACATTTAACTTGATCTTCAAACCTTGTCCTTTGCTGTGTCTTTTAAAGGTGGGGGATGGACAGCTGATTCCCAAGGGCGAACGGAAGGTCTTTCTCCACTTTCCTCCCAGCCCAAGCCCCGACCTCTCTATCCGGGAAGACAGGGAATGATGGTTCCAGAGATGATGGTCCTCTTCCTTTACCTGGGAACCTCTGGGTGGACAGTGGTCCTGGGTCCACTGCTTGCTGGAACCTTCTGGGAGCTTTCAGACATCTTAGGCCAGGCCTTAGCCCAGCCCGATTTCCACTGGAACTTCTGGAGGTGGGATCCTGGTTGGGCTTAGGGTTAGGGCATCAGTGTTTCTGGAAGTGACCCAGATGATTCTCAGATGCAGCCAGGCTTGCAAAGAGGGGGTTTAGAAGAAACCACCGAGAATGACAAGTCTCGGGTCCAGTTTAATTCAGCCAACATTGCCGGGACACCCAGTGAGCGCCATCAGGCGAGGCGAGAGGGGTCAGGCATGAAGGACACAGAGGCCCTGAAGGGTCCTGTGCCCTCACTCAGGTCCGCTTGGGTTTCCTGTCGGTGAAGCAAGGACGCTGGGCTCGCATCCCTATCATCGGGAGTTTTAACAAGTCACACAGGAGGACTGCCTGCCGTCCCGTGTTCTAAGTGTTAACAGATTTGAGGACACGCTCTTTAGGGATAATCTCACTGATCCAGAGGGTCTTTCAGAAGGAAATAGCCTTTAGCTTGGTTCTCCCCGGTCTGGTCCTGGGAGCTGACAGGATGGAGATGGGAGAAGGCACTGTTCTGCTGGGTTTCGGCCGCTTGGGCCTTCTGTGCATGAGAGAACACTCCCTCCCACCTCCGTACCCCCGAGTGGAAAGGGATCAAAGATCCACAGGGTTCTTGGCCACTCTTCTTGTGTTTCCTGCTCTTAAAGGCACAGAAAACATTCCACGCACGTCACTTTCTGCAAATTCACAGGCACCAACCATGGACTATGTACCAAGCTAGGCAGCCCAAGAAGCTTGGCAAGGAGACTTAGCAAGAAGCATGCAAATACCAAGCCATGCTTGCTAAGACATTTTGAGACACCAGGGCAGCGTGTCCCTCTGTGTCCTGTCTTCACCCCAAACAAGGCCCCATTTGTCCAAGGCCGTGTCCAGCCACTGGAGGAACAGAGTGGGATTTGAACTCCAGCGCCAGAAATGGACTTGGTGCCATTCAGGGGAAGGCCTGCCCTGCTTCCTGGGGGCAGAGAGGAATTCTCTTCTTTTCCATGCGTCCTGGGCTCCAAGTCTTTGCCTAGCTGGCTTTCACATGCAGGTCTCTGAGCCTTTGGGCTTTTTCTCGCCCAGAAAATCGTGCAAATAGCAGAATTGAAATGCCCTGTTGCTTTCTGATTGGAAAACATGGGGATGTGCTCATTTTGGGAAGACTCTCCATCTTGGGGTTGGGGAGCAAACATCTAGATGGAGTACCCAAAATTGCTTGGGATGAGTGTGCTAACACTGGTGAATGCCCGTCATTCACCCTTACAGCCCGCCCCTTCCCTCTGTCCTTCTGAGAAGACCAAGGTCAGAGATTACCAGTGGGGCAACAGAGGGGCTCGATTCAGTTCTCAGCAGGATCCCATCAGTGACTCTGTGACCTCAGGTCAGTCCTTTCCCATGTCGGGGCCTCAGTTTCCCCATCTGTATAATGAAGACTGAAGGGGATCGGAAAGGACTCAATCTGCCTTCACATAGTTGGACCCTGGGGAGAGGGCCCCTCGGGAAAACAGTGACAGAATTTGATAGGGATGTTGGTGTCAGAAATGTTCCCTGTTTGGATTACAAAAATGGGGTGAGCATGGGTTCTCCAACAGAAAACCCCCTGTTCTTGCTGGTTGTCACTTAGAAGTCTTCAGCCACCTTGCAAGTCACGGGGTGTCCACCTTCTCCCAACAGTCCCAGCCTGGGCTGGGGCATCAGAGCAGGCCGCTGAGCCCCTCACTCCCGAGTGCTAAGTTCAGCAATTAGAGCTGGAAAACATTCCCCCTTCTGCCCAGGAGAGGAAACTAGACGAACAGAACTTTTTTTAAATGTTAATGTGATGAAATGTATAATGAAACTCATGTAACTTTCAAACGAGGGAGGATGGAATTTCTGCCTTCCTGGTGTGCAGGCGAAGCCTTCGTTAATTGCCTGCACTGTACAACCTTCAAAAACAATTTTACAGGGTTCTAGCTACAGACCATTCAGGGTGCTCTAACGCTGTCAAGACAGGTGGAGCTCAGAGTGTATGGCATTCCCAGAGTGAAGGCTGAGCCGGCTGCCAGGGCCGGGCACTCAGGGAAGCCTTGGGCCTGGGCTTTGCTCCAAGCAGGGCCTCGCTCAGCCAGAGAAACGCATGATGAGAAAAGGCGGCAGGATGGGCTAATGTGGGCAGCAAGCGGATCCTGGGAGATGGAGCAGCTCATCAGCTGGGTGGAGGGTGGGTTAGGGAAACTTTGCTGCTCCTTGACAGATGAGCAAAGATTCACTGGGAAGATGAGGCAGGCGAGGAGAAATGGCGTGTCTTGCAGAAGGACTGACATGGGAAATGCATGGATGTTGGAGAAACAGTGGAGAAGCAGAAGCCTGGAGTGGGCTGGGACTCTAGTACCACCCCCACCTAAAATAGGATCCTCTCCAAAATCCTAACATATAGCATATCCATCCATCCATCCATCCATCCACCTATCCATCCATCCATCCATCCATCCATCCATCCATCCATCCACCCACCTATCCATCTATCCATCCATCCATCCATCCATCCATCCATCCATCCATCCATCCATCTATCCATGTATCTTCCTAGGCCCTAGGACCTAGGGGAAGACTGTAGAATGAATGAGGGTGGTGGGGTAGGTAGGAAGGGAGTCAGGGTTCTCTCTGGCATGGGAAGCTAGAGA